ACTGCTGGTGGGACTGCAAACTAGTGCAACCTCTGTGAAAAGCAATATGGAGATACCTTAAAGAGATAGAAGTAGAATTACCATTTGATCCAGCAACCCCATTACTGGGCATCTATCCAAAAGAGCAAAAGATACTCTATAAGAAAGACACCTACACCCAAATGTTTATAGTAGCACAATTCACAATTGCAAAGATGTGGAAACAACCGAAGTGCCCATCAATGCATGAGTGGATTAATAAAATGTGGTATATGTATACCATAGGGTACTATTCAGCTTTAAGAAACAATGGTGATTTAGCACCTCTTATATACTCCTGGATAGAGCTGGAACACATTCTACTAAGTGAAGTATCCCAAGAATGGAAAAGCAAGCACCATATGTACTCACCATCAAATTGAATTTAACTGATCAACACTTAAGTGCACATATAGTAATAAGAGTCATCGGGCATCGGGCAGATGGGAGGGGGAGGAAGGGATTGGTATATACACAGATAATGAGTGTGATGAGCACTGTCTAGGGGATGGACACGCTTGAAGCTCTGACTCGGGGGAGGGGGAAAAGGGCAACATATGTAACCTAAACATCTGTACCCCCATAACATGCTGAAATAAAAATATGGTACTTTAAAGTATTTATATATATATGATATGATGTCATTTTGAACCTCTGAAAGTCAAAGTGCCAGCGTAGTGCTTAGAAAGATTAGAAATAAAACCAATTTTCTTCTTAAAAAAAATTAAGAAGCTTCTGCACAGCCAAGGACACTGTCAGGAGAGCAAACAGACAACCCACAGATGGGAGGAAACACTCGCAGCCCACACATTTTATATTGTGTACGTCTTTCCATCCATGTCTACATGCAGATCACATGCAAACTGGTCCCTGCTGTGGAAACGTACAGACCTTTCCAGCAGCTCCAGCTGCTCTCTCATGGAGTCTGGGTATCTTCAATGTTCAGGGACAGAGAGGATGGTGTGAATATTTCAGTTCTTTTTCTTCAGATCAGAAAGTCAGCGTATTAGGGGGAGGACACCAGTATCAGTGTTTACACTAAATCCACCTTACAAGACCTGCAACTGCTGGTCTCTTCCTCCAGGTGCATATTTCATCCTCAGACCGTCATGCTCACCTACGTGGGGAAGATGAGAGCATCCACCCACGGACTCTCCCCTGCTGCACACACGTCCCAGCATCTCCAGGCTACGGGAGGGTGGCATTTGTGTGTGGGAGCAAATGCCATGAGGTGATGTCATGTCTCTGCATCCCCAGAATCGCACGATAGTGGCTTGATGTGCTATGAAGATGATGTGGGCCAGGTGGGGAAAAGCTCATGTAGACTTGAAGAAGTGACATCTTTTTTTGAAATAAAATTCGGAATCTATTTGAAATAACGGATGTTCGCAGGTCCTGATCATTTGGGAATGAGATGGTGACAGACAGAAGTAGGGGCCATTGTGGTTTTGTCTCTGATAGCCTGCTGCATGGTCATTGCACTGAGTGTGTGGGGATTCCCACACATACTCGCATATTACAACGGCAGAGGTCATATCCTAATGTGTTTAATTATCATTGAGTCAATTATGCATTTAAGTTGCATCTGTGTATATATTGTCAAGACCTGGGAGTTCCAAAGAATACTCCAGTGGAATTACTGGAATGTAAATATATTCCTCCCTTACTCACTATGTAAACATAGCCACATCCTAATACTATAATTGCCGCCCTTGCAAAGACGGTGACTGTTTGC